AAACAGTGGAATCGGCACAATCTGCAGGCTGAATTCTACTGTACAAGTGTTTGTTTCAACTTCTTTAGATTTGGTCTGTAAGCATAAATACAGCAGTGTAAGTATTGTTGATAAAATGTTAGTGTTTAGTTACAGAATATAACACATCCTACAGGTGCTCTGTTCGCTGAATTAGGGTGAGGTTTTCTGTTTTATGCTGTGCAGTCAATTTATGTGATTACTTCAGGCACACTGGAGAAGTACTTGCTGTTAAGATGGAACTAGTGCTCTGAAAATACATGGTGTAGTGTGGGGTGGTTTGTTTTTTTTTTTGTGAAAGCAAAAGCATTCACTAGTAAAATTGAAAGTGACACTGAAACCACACCTGTTTGTGTACCCATGACACCTGTGTCCCAGCATCCAAGAACCCACGGCTTTAATAAGCAGCTCTGGACAGGTGGATTTTTGTTGGGGGGAAAGGGGTAGCAGCCATGGAAGGGGGCTGCTGCCGCCACCGGGGCCCCTCAACACTAGATGGCACCAAGGGATAGGAGGACAAGGGATAGGTCAGTCTCATTGTGATTTGCCACCTCTGTTACAGTGGTTGTCACACGAAAATGAGGAGGCTGGATGTAAAATACTCCTTTACAACACATTTGGTCTGTGATTTACAAGGCATTGGTAGAGCAGTGTGAAACTTCAGAGAGGGGGGAATGTGGTGAAATGCATTTCAGTGTGCAAAATACTTAAAATCTTTTCTCTGTGGCACGTGTCTGCCGCTCGCTGCAGAGCCGTACGCTCACTGCGAATAGATGGTGCTTATAGTGTTGCAAGAAACTGATGTAAAAAGTTACTGAATTGGACTGATGTTTAATTTAAGTGTTGTGTTACTGACTTTCACGTCCTGGTGTTACACCAGTGCTGAGCTACAAGCTTTTGAAACTTAATCATTCAATCAAAAAATGCTCCTGTGTCTGTGCGTATGTGCAAAGCAGCCAGCCAGGGATATTCTGCTCTCTACGATCAACCACTAAATGCCTAACTCGTACCTGCGTGATGGTTTTCCTACATTTCTGTTTCACTTGTTTCTGTCAAGCTATCCTCTTGCAAAAATAAGTAAGGTAATTTTATGTCTTTAAGACAAAATACATATATGTAATTATGATGTGGTGTTGGGAGGGATGTGAAATAATGCTCCATGAGCTAAGGAAATTGGAAATTCTTCAGATAGCATTTTTTTTTCTGCTTGTTTAAACACTCCTGATGGACACCAAAGTATCTGCCATGTACCTACATGGGTATTGGGTAAGTTAAGTAGTAAAGGGAACTACAATGTTTCATATAGTCAGCACTCAAAATGTCACTAACAAATGGAGTAAAATAAAGTTTTAGAAAGTGAAATAAGGCATATGAGTAAAAAGCATTGTCCAAGCAGCTTTGGTATGAATTTACTGTACTGGGATAAAAATAATTTACCATGTATTTTCTTTTAAAGATTAACTAATTAATACTTGTTTTACATACTATCTGAATTCTTCTGGTGGCCTACATTAAAGAATGAATTAGGTGAGATTTAACAGTTGAGACCAAGTGTCTTAGTGTTAACGATCACTGTATGTACAATTTCACCAGGTTTGACTAAATGTACATTAAATCCATGCTGTGTAGACTTTACACGTCATTCCAGAGGTAGTGTGTTGTGTTATTAGCTTGCCGGAATGCCTTGAGATCTTGTGAATGCTGGAAACTGCTGGGAATACTTTGCCTGCAGCTCAGGTTGTCTCTGGTACCAAAGGCAGACAATTACAAGAGGCAAACCCATTGGAAAGGAGGTTTTATTGATTGCAGTGATCGAGAAATTGCCTGGAAGTATTTTTGAGGAAACAGTTAGATGTGTATAGGCACAGATCCTGCTGGCCAGAACTTGTCTAGTTCTTGTCCAGAGGAGTAATACAGTAATATGGTGCAATTAGTAGAAATCTTAACAGCATTGTAATTACTTCCATGTATACAGAGTTTCTTATGGCATCTCTTCTGTATATTTTGACTGCTGCTTGCAACTGGTACAGAATTTGTTGAGGTTTTTGTTGGGTTTTTTTATAGTTGGCTTTTCTTTTTCCCCTTAGTATGATGCTTGGTGTGGCTTTGGGGCTGTGGTAACCTCTGCTTTCTTAAGACAGCTGTGCGGGTTTTATTTCTAAATTTCATAGATCATAAGCACATCGCAAAGACTGACGAATTCGGGGAGTGTTCTCATTGGGAGTCCATATAACCCAGCTCCAGCAATGGTCACACAGGCACACATAACGGAAGCTTCTGGCTGGATCCCAGGGTAAGATTTTTGTTTTATTTAAAGGTGTTTGAAGGATCTGTGCTGATCTTTTCCTGTATATATACAGTTGTGTCTGTATGTTGGCTCACACCTTCTGGTTCTTGCACAAGTATAAAGGAGTATGCTCTTCAGCTTGTTACGCATTTCTGATGCCTGGAACACATGGGCATGGAAGCGCAAACACTGGTCACTTCACCCACTGTTTAAATTTTGTTTCATGGCAGTGTTTGAGAGAGAGTCACAAATTCATGAGTCCTGTTAAAACAAGTCTTTATTTTGTTTCGTGAATTCATGGTATATCCAAGTAGCTTTGCTATTGAACATATTGGGAGGGTGCCAGCAAAGGGAGAGACTGTCAGAAACACTTTCAAAGGTGTAACTCTAATGGAAAATTTTGAATGTAACCAGTGTCGTATTCTTATTACTGTTTTACACTAGCAACAAATTTTCATGGGGTTCTGAGGTACTCCAGAGTAACATGACTGTCTTTATCTCTTCTAGGGAAATTTGATCTTTACAGTATTTCATGGTTTGTTTGTTCTTTTAATACCAGTACTGCTGAGCATATCTGTCTCAAGACAGATGTAGTGCTTTGCCTCTGAAAAATCAAAATTTATTTCTGCATCTAGGTTAACTTCTCTAATCAGTGATGGACATCAGTGGTACCTTTCCAGCCTCAGAGGTGGGAAAATGGAGTATCTAAGAAACAGCAGAAGGGAGAATATAGTGGTTGTACCTTGACTTCCTTTATTCTGTGCTGTAAGCAAAGACTCTTCTAGGCTTGTACTTACCAGTCAGTGTATCCGCATCACCGAGTCAATAGACTGCATGCCTAGCTGGGAAGGTTTTGATTATTTTTTCCCCCTGAGTGTGTGTTTATTTCCATAAATACCTTTTTAATCACTTAGTTCTGATTTTATTTGAAAAATGAGCTGTCGAAGATTACTTTGTTTCAGCAAGTCTTGTGACGTGTGGAGGCCAGGCTGCATGGTTGGTTCAGTCTCCAGAGGAGGGAAAATCTCTAGTGTCTGTTCACAGCTGCTAAACCAGAGACTCATTACCCATTAGCTTTCTTAAGCTTCATCAAAACCCAGTGATGGAGATTACCAGAGAGAAGCCTATTGCAGTGCATCAGCCACCACCACCAAGGATAAGCACCATTCTTCTCTTCGTATACTGTCAAAATCCACAGTATTTCCAATGAGCCTAACTATTGTTTCATCCATAAAAAGGAGCAAGATGTTCTTCAGACTGGCCGATCAGTATTGATCCCTGCAGAAGTCCATACAAGAGGTCATATTTTCATCTGAAGAGCAGAGGTGAGGAAGGCTCTGCAGTACTGCCAAGCCTAAATGGTGACCCCTTGCTGAAGACAGTTCCAGAGGACTGCAAGCCCAGGCTTCTTGCTTTACCTGTTGTTTACTCCTCCTCACTGATTCCAAGTTGTTTCCAAAATCAAATGAGACAAGAGCATGTTCACTCTCAGGGCTCCATACCACCTCCAGCAGCCTGGCTTACAGACCTGGAGCAACTCCTCGTTCATTCGCCGCTGGTCCAGGTCCCCGTTGTGCACAGGAACACTGCAACCCGCCCCAACTGCGCTGCCTGCACTTTTAAGCACCATGGACAGGGGTTGCTACAGACACAGATCCTGCTGGCACTGCTGAGGAAGATGTCTGCTAGTGGGTCCTAGGTTGTACAGCCAGATACATGAGGCTTTCATGGCATGGAGCTTCAAATCCATCACTTCTGTTCAGCTCCCTTTTTTAGCATTGTCAGGTTTTAGCTGTGAAAGTATCTGCTGTGAGCCCTGGTTTTGAAACTGCAAGGTAACAACATGAAGTCATTTACTGCGAGGTCTCAAGCAGTGTGTGCACTGTATCAGCTGCAAGAATAAAAGACAAGTTTTGAATACACCTTCTGCAGTCTGCTTGCTGTAGCTAATGAACAGAACGATAAGGTGACTGTTGCTCCTGTGCAGAACTCATCTACTTCAGAGTATCACCTTCAGCTCTGTGTGTATCAATCAGCTCTAATATGAACTGCTTAGTGTTTTCCCTTGTTTTTTGTTTAAAGATACCAAAACATTCAGTGTCCTGGAATTACAGGATAGATTTATGCACTGTTTAAATACATTTTTCTTCCACAGTGAGAAATTTTAAATAGGAATTCTCAAAGGAATGCAGCTTTTCCTTTTGATGAGATTTGGTTATCTAGCTCACACCAGCACTTCCTATAGTTCCAGATGAAGTGAGTTGCCTAAAATCACATGGGCAAAGCATGGTAAAATTGGGATTAGAACTTCTGGGGCAGGGAGCTTGGACAAGCTCTGAAGTCCTGACCACGTCCCCTCGCATTTTATCAAGCTCTGTGTGTGCTGTTTTCCCCTTTTCAGTAAACAAGTAACAGCAAACATTAGGGTGCAAATACGTGGATTTTATTGGTCTAAATGTGTAATGTGATTTTAATCTTAAGTTTGAACTGTCTTTTCTTAGGGACCGAAAGCGGACTCAAGAATTTATAGAGTCAGATTTTTCAGAAAGGTGAGTATTATCAAACATGTATTTGATGCATACAGTCAGACTTGTTTTACTCCTTCAGATCTGCTCTTCGGAGAGATGGGAGTCATGTTCCCATTACCACGTAAAAGTTATGTTGTGTGTTATTCCTTGTAGTTGTAATTCATTACTCTTTGTCACTTTTCTATTTTAAGCACAAACATAAGTTGCCTCTAAGTCTGGTTTCCAAGCACTTAAACACCTTGTAAGGTTTTCCCCTTTTTTTTTTGGTTGTTCTTTTGTGAAACTACCTGGAGATGAATTACAAATCCAGTTTTCTAAGCATCAGCCCAGTAGCATGTGTTCAAGCACTGTCCTTGTAGGAATGGCTGAGAAAGGGGAAAGGATTCCAGTGCACTTTTTTTGGCAACTTGGAAGAAACAAGAAACTGATTCAAAAAAGCAGAACAGCTTTATTTTCCATTTAGGTAGTACATGATTCCTGTTGCAAAAGGTGGCCTTTTGCTGTGTAACGAAGTAGCTTATTAACATTTGATGTATTAAAACAATTTTTTTTTTCCTTCTAGTAAGAGGAGCAAAAAAGGAGATAAAAATGGGAAGGGTCTGAGGCATTTTTCAATGAAAGTATGTGAAAAAGTTCAACGTAAAGGAACAACTTCATACAATGAAGTTGCCGATGAGCTGGTATTGGAATTCACAAACTCTAACAGCCACCTAGCTACAGACTCGGTAAGCAAATACATGTGGAAATGTGTTACGCCATCACAAAACTGGCTGGTTTATGATGGAATTCTGTCTCTTCTGTTTCTGCACTGTCCTGCCACACCAGATACTTTCCTTCACTTACTTAACTACTTCCCAAATATAAAGACTTACCCTCTGAAATTTCAAAATAAAGAATTAAAATAAAGACTCAACTCCCTATAAATTAGAAACAAATTAGAGAAGTCTGCCAAAATAGTTAGGCTTTTCAGCTGAAACAGACTTGCCATGGTGGGAATTTGCTGCAGAGGCTTCAAGCAGGCCCGAGGCTTCCATCTGCAACCAAACAGCTCATGTGGTACCCAAGTAGTAGCACAGATAAAAGCACTGAATTTTAGTACCCCTCTGACATGAACTGCCATTCTGACTTTTTATCTTCTATGTATCTTTGAGGGATTTGTTCCCTCTCTTTTTCCTTTTTGAATTCTTTTGTTGTACTTAATTCTGTATTGTTTTCTTAGCAGGCTTATGATCAGAAAAATATTAGGCGGAGAGTTTATGATGCCCTCAATGTCCTGATGGCAATGAACATAATTTCAAAAGAGAAGAAAGAAATCAGGTGGATCGGCCTTCCCACAAACTCAGCTCAGGAATGTCAGAATCTAGAGGTAAGGTGAGGTAGAGGGGAAATCTTGCGTAGTCACAGGTTGTGATAATGGAGCTGCTCTACTTCAGAAGAGGGTGGGGTTTTTTTTTCTCAATTTGAACTGGACTGGTTTTGATCCTTGCACATTATGCAAATACCTCTTTTGATATTTGAATAAACTGAAAGGATGTTTATGTATTCTTAGCGCAGTTTTCTATAGTATATATTACATGAAGTTTGGGAAGAAAACCACCTGTTTACCCTAAAAAAAATAAAAATCAGGGAATACTTTTAAGATGAAAGTCTGTAGTGGCCTGAATTAACCAGCAGAAAAGTCAGAAGAATATGTGGTGCAGCTGTGCTTATGGAATGGTGTATGTTTAAAAGGAGACCAATTTTCTATTCCTGTCTGTACTTTGAAATGCCATTCACAGGAAATGCAGTTGAAAAATAATTCCTGCTAGGATGTTAAATACTAGTTAAGAACTGACAGGGGGAAAAAAAAGGAAGTATTACTTATTGGTTATTTCCATTATTTCTCCAGCAGGCTGGGAGTTACTTTTTTTTTTTTATAAGGATGCCAGAATTCATATGCACAAATGTTGCTTGTCCTTCAGGCCAAATGTTCTATAAATAAAAAGCACAAGTTACTGTATTTACTGCAGACTGCTGCAATGACTGTCTGTAAATACATCTTAATATGTATTTTATTTGTGATATGTGTGGCATCAAATACTTTGAAAGGTGGGTGGGATGCCTCTGCGGTACAGAACAATTTTTTTTGTGCAAGTTAATTTGCATCAAGAGTCTTTCTAGATGTGGTAAGAAAGAAGCTTTTACTGTGTGTCCAGTATAGCAGCTTGGAAAATACATCCACCCAACGAGTAGGCAGATGCTCAACCATTTTTCTTTAGGATTCTGGTTTTTAAAAAGCTATAGATAAATGTACATTTTACATTCATTCCTGTGAATGCATTATCTTAAGTATAGGTTATTGTTACAAATCTGGAACTTGAATTATATTGTCTCATCAACAATGATCTTATGCTATTCACTGTTTCAGGCTTTAATTGCATATGCACAAAATGGAAGCCAGGCATAGGTTCTTAAAATGTTGCTTCCTGTGACATAACTGAAAAGAATAGAAAATAAAGCTGCATTTGCATGGTGTGAAAACCTGAATTCATTTTCCTCTTAAAGCTGTGTAAAGTGTGAACTCTTCTTAATGTGTTGTTCCGTAAGAATTTCCAGTACGAAAATGAGAAATCAGTACAAAAAAGCTTGTTATAGAGAAACCATGTCTAAATTATATCTATCTATCTGTAATATTTATTGGTTTTGAAAGTTACACATTTGTCCCAGAAAAAAAAAGTCATCTATTGTGCTCTGAAGGAAGCATTTTAAACATTGAGGGGGTGGGGACCACAAAGCACTGCTGTAAATAAAACAGGAGAGTTTAGTTTTGAAAGTTTTGACAGACTGCATTGTTTAGTTTCTGTGGTTGATGAAAAGGTAATTTAAGAGTTTAGTATTTTGGGGAGCAGTGATACAGTGCTGGCACCAGCAGAACGATGAAGAAAAATCCCTTTTAAATAACTACTGTCCAGTTCTCTAGGGTTGCCCCAGGGCACTATTTAAAGGACCCTCGGTTGTCTCTGCAGTGTCAGCAGGCATTAGTGCTGTTGCTGTCCCAAACACTGCATATGTTGCCACTCAAACTGGCGTTAGCTGCTGCAAGAAATGGATTTTGTGCTTATGATGTAGATTGTTACCTCTACCCCCTTTTGTTGCTGAAATCTTGTTAGTTTAAGCAAGTCTCAAATAAGTAGTCCAAACAAAAAGTGGAGCTGTCTGGAAAGATGCAGGTGATGATCCTGAGCCTAGTCTCCACTGGCTTGCAGCCAGGAGAACAGTGGAAGGGATGTGCACAATTCCAAAAGAGTGGGGGGCAGGAGGGAAAAAAAGGAACCAACCAACCAATCCCAAAACACCCCTTCCTCACTTGGTGCACAATACAAAAGAGGAGGAATGGGTGAGGAAATAACACAGCCTCTTGTAATAATGCACTCTTTACTAGAGTTAGAATCCATGACAAAGACAGACATTAGAGTTTGTCTGACCTGTTTCATGGAGAAACTCGTGTGGCTGTGCGATTAGTCTGTTTGAAAAATAACAAAATATATGGCAGATGGGTAGGCCTGGCAAGACTTTTGCAATTTACTTATTGTGCCCTGGAATCCACCACCATTTATAACGAAAGTGTGGATTTCTGTAAGGTGTAGCACACTGATACAGCTCTAAAAGTGTCTTCAGTTTGGCACATTGGAACAGATTAAGGTAACTAAGTAAACATCCTGATGCATTTATATTTTAAGATAGAAAAACAGAAGCGGATTGAAAGGATAAAACAGAAGCGAGCCCAGCTACAAGAACTGCTGCTGCAGGTATACTTTAATTATTTTTTTCTATAAATAAAATTATCAAGTTCTGATCTGACATATTAGAACTTCTGAATTTAGAAGATTTATTTATTTAGGTTTATTTAGCAGCTATGATATACTAAGGAGAAAATGCTGTGACTTTCCTGGCTTCTAGAAGGGGGGACCTCTTACGTGCATTTTCTGGTCTATGTTTACTACGGAAAACAGGCATGCTGCTACAGCTGTGGTCCCCCAGCTTTTGGAAGTGTTCTGAAGGTCTGTCAACATTAGTGGGAGCGGGAACAACTCGCAACAGTCTTTGTTGACTCAAAGTCTCCCCCCAGAGTTCCCTTCTCAGAGTAGTTCTTAGAACCAGAGAGAAATTTTCTACTAAGCAACAAAATTACAGCTGAGTTTTGTGTAAATGAGTAGAGTTGTTTTGGAGGAGACAGACAGACACTTCTGAATCTTTAGAGTAGAAGGCCAGGAAATCCAACTCTTACCTTCTGACATGCACCTTTGAGATGACTTAGATTTTGGCTTCAATTGCAGAAATTTATTTCAAATGCATCTTTGCTTAGAAAGTAACATTTTTTAAATACAATTACAAGCATTCTCAAGAGTTTTGGTCTGGGCAGACTTTCAGTACGTTAATGCATTTGGGCTTTTTAATGAGGTTACGGGCAATAAGGCTATTTTTTTTCCTGGTGCAACTATATTGATATAATTTTCATGTAATTAGCTATATACTGAAACTTTTAAATATCTACTGCTTCTTGTTTCATCACCAAAAACTGTTTCTTTACTTAGGGTACAATTCTATCTGACCTGATAAATTAGCAGCTTTTATAACAGTAAAATGAAATTATCCTGGTGACAGTAAGGCAACTCAGGCTCTCTTAGTCTGAAAATGACAGAGGTGGACTCCTTTACTGTCTACAACTGTCATTATTTCCTTGACTATGTTCATTGTCAAATGGTTTACAAGTGCTTTGGGATCCTGTCTGTCCATCTTCCCCTTAAGTGTAGTGCCTTAAATTGGGTAAGTACACTGACTTCCAATCCCTCAAATAACATTTCCCAAACCTACACATTTTCATACATATGCAGTCAGGGATAATAGCTCATAGCGAGGGAGTGGTGTCATGAAGAGCACCTGTTTAAAAACTTTTAGAGGAGAATTTCAAAACTAACTTTTCTGAGAGAGAAAAGAGGGTGATGGATGAGAAGGGGAGGAGAATACAGGTCCTGGGAAGTGGGAAATACTGTCATTTCTGCGTTGTTTTTTTTTCCCCAGTGTAAGTAGCTCGTAGCATGAGGTAGTTGTGCATAAAGGGATAGGGAACCATTCTTCACCAAGCTTTATTATTGCTCCTTTCTTCTTTCTCCTCCAGGGACTGTGAGGGGGGCATAGCCATTAGGAGTTGTGTGAGAAACTGGTGTTTAACTTTTGTT